CCACGTCTTCTCATCGTGCATCTCTCCAGGAGTTAAATTTTGACACATGCTGCTGCCAAAGAAAGCAAGATTAGCATCTTAAAGCACATACTAACACTTACTGGTAGCTTACAGAAGAATCTTTCATACTTTCTTGCATCTTTTCGTATTTATGACTTAGACCATTCTTTAGTCCTAGATGAGATCAGAAAACATGAAACTAGATTTTCTTCTCCTGATCATGTTGATATTTGGTCTGCATGTCTAAGAACTGGCCTCTTCCACAGGGTTCACCACCTGAGGCCTCACCTGTGTTCAACAGGGATATTGCCAAATAAAATCGAAGTTTGGGGCAAGAGTTGCTGTGTCAGCAAGACAGCTGACTATTTCCTCCCAGACAGATCTCCAGCATGATGTTACAGATCACCATGCTGCATGGAGTGACATACAGTGAAAGAAAAATAAAACTGAATTCTCTACAGCAAACCTCACAGTAAGTCCTAAATTGCTTTTACCGTGTGTAGTTAGGCTGCTGCTGCTCTACCCTAGCACTGGCTGGTCTTCCGTGGGGAGAGTGTAAGAAGAGGTAAACATTTTTATTCTTTCTATAAAAGGAATACACAGAGACAAGCAGTCTAAACAGTTTGAGGCAATAGTAACAGTTTTCATATCTGCAGTTAAAATGTACACTCTGTAAGTACTACAGTTGTCCAGATTTATATAAGGGATAAAATGGAAATGGGTAAGAAAGGAGGAAACTAACGGAGGGAAATGCTACGTTGTAACATCAGAATGAATCATATTTGTGTGTATGTAAAAATCTGAGATGCTCTCAATAAAGTTTGTGTCTCTATATGAACTTCTCCTAAATGGCTGTATGATTTTCTATTGGCAGAAACCCTTTTCTGTGCAAGCTTGTATTTCTGATGATCACGCTGTGCTTTTCACTTCTTAATTGCAGATGGTTCATGGCCAAGATGCCTAGTTTCCTTTTTGTTTCATTAATTGGTGTGCTTAACGGAGGGCACGCTGGGCCCAGAAAGCAACGCTGCTGCCCCACTGTGGCTTTTCTGCCTGTAAAGGGGCTGTTGCCAGAAGCCGCCTGTTGTGCTGTTCGTGGCTTTTCTGCCTCTGGTGTCTCTGCTTTTAGGGAAATTTCAAGGAAGTCTTGAGTAGAGATGAGGTGGCTTGAGAATGAGGTGCTGAGATGGAGTGGGCTGGGTAGATGAGTCCTAGCAGGACAGCAATGCGAACCAAAGCTTTGCTCAGTGAGGAGGGGAGAGGTCTTGTGTGAAGGTGAAGATTGTTTAAAGCTGGGGAAGGCAAAGTCCTGGAAAAGAGAGGAAGAGAGTGTGTTTGGGAGGAAAGATGCCCACAAGAAAGTGCTGAGAATTGTTTAAGAAATAGGGATCACGTCTGTCCTTGTCCACTTGAGAGAGAGAGAGAGGGGCTGGCAAACCCTTGCCCTTGGAGAAGCTGAGAGGCAGACAACCTGTCATGTAGGGTACTCGAGAAACGTAGGTCCATGCCTGAACTAGAGGCACCAGCTGTTATGGATCTGTGATAAGATGCTTGCTTTGAAGATGAGTTTGATTTTGTTATTGGTTCAAGAGCAAAAACTGATTCTACAAGCTCAAGGACTCTAGAAGTCTTTTCATATGTCCTGGAGCACTGTTCCCCCCTCCCCGCCTTTACCTTGCTGAGTTTTTGGGTCTGCAACTTCAGGTCTCAGTGGGATTTCAAGTGATCTGTCAGTTTAAGATATTCTTGCGCTTTTCTTTATACATGCGTACATATTTATACTGTGACAGGTCTATTTAGGAGCTTAAAAGTACAGGTTTGGGCATACAGCTGTTTCTTTTCTAATCTATTCCAGGCTGGAAAATTATTAGATATCAGTATGGACTCAGGGTAGAGAATTGGAAGAAGTCTTATTATATTATGTAAAAATAAAATCTTACACATTTACCATTCTAATCAGAGTAAAATTCTGAAGAATTAACAAAACTAATTGCTTGGGATAGTGGGATATTTTCAAACATTTTCACTTTTAAAGGTTAGGAAGACTATGTAGCACCAGCATCTGCCAGTTTGAAATTGTAATTTATATACATGACCAGTGTGCCTGATCTAAAATGTACTTGCTGATGAGAGAGCCCTCGTGCTGGCAAAAGGCTCACCAATGCTGATAGGGTCAGTTTATGCATTTATGTTTTCTGTAGTGCTCCAGACCTTTGGAGAAGAGCAGCCTTAAGCTGAATTGCATCTCACTTAAGGCAGAAAATACAGTTAAGATAAAACAGGATGCACAGCTTGTAGAAAATTATTTTATTTTATCATGGAAACGTTTAGCAGAGCTGAGCTACTGTGCTGGTGGGAGCTGTAGAAAATCTGAGAACTGACAGCATACTTTATTGTGTTAATTAGCGGTGCAATGTTAGTGAGAAAATGTATTTTGGGTTCAGCATTTTCTGTAGATTTTTTATCATGTCTTAAAGTGCTCTTTGGGTACTTTGGATGCCTAACTGAGATGCTGTGTCTGGAAGCCAGCGCTATCTGAAAATCAAGCCCTTTACTTAATGCATTTCAAAATACTGATGATGTGTTAAATGGGACCATATTGATTAATCTTTAAAAACAGGTAACTAACAGACTGGTCTGATGTTTATGCTCGTTCTATTTTATCTTTGTGTAGTGGAGCGGTTTTAGCAATAGGAACATTCTTGCACAGAAGCAAACACTACAGACCCTCTGCTTCACCGTTGTTACTGCACTATACTTGCTGCTACAGTATTTTATGTCAGATAACTTTTTTTTTTAATCACAATAGAAATGACCTTTTGTTTTTTCATTACCTCATGCGGGCTGGCCGGAGGGTATTCTCACACTGTAAAGGCAATAAAGCTCCCCGACAGATTTTTCTAACAAAATCCTTGTGCACAGCTGCATAACATAAATCATTCCTTCCAATTTCTGAATGTTAAATGTTTGCCGTATGAAAGTTACTGCTGTTCTTGCCTGACTTTAACAAGGCTTGGGGTTTTTTGTTTGGCACAAATATTGTTGCTTTTCAGTTTTATAATCATGCTGCCCTTAGCCGTAACAACTATATGGCTTGAGTGCAACCAAGTATAGGTTAGACTGCCAAGATATTTGTATTTTCATAACAGTCAGCTCATATTTTACAAATACAGGGTGTGTTTTCCTTTACTTAAATTATTTATTTGTAAATCCAACTGGTGCGTATATTGCCATAAAACCAGACTGCAGCAAAAGAAAATTCGGCTAGTGGAGTAAGAATCATCTTCTGGGACTAAACTCATTATTTTTACTTACAAGTTTTGCCCTTTTTCCATGTGACATCGCAGTGCTGAGGATCACATTACAGTGCTTCTGGAACGAATCGACTTACACTGCCTTAATTAAGGGTATCAAAGTAGGAATGAATAACCATGGCTGCATCTGTTGCTGCTGATTTCCCTTCACGGCCGTAGTATAGCATGGGCCGCTGAAGGTCCCTGAGCAGGTTCAAGGTGCTCTGGCCGATGCCCAGGATGTGGTAGTGCATCTGCAGGACCTTCTAAAGATCAAAACCCATCATATTCTGGGGGATGGCAGTTTGACCAAGTGCTGCCTTAATAATAAAGTCATAATGAATTGTATTTATAACCCACGCTACCACCAAGGCAGCCCGTAAGGACTGTATCCTCTTCATACATAGGGCTAAAACACAGGGTAAAAGATGGAGCAAAGAGAGTGTGCTGGGTGGGTCTGGGGAGGGTCTGGGCAGGTCTGTGCCAATGAAACTGGAAAATGTCTCGTTCCACTAAGCTCTAATTTAGAGGTATTTTGACATGACTGTAGGTGGCAGAGATGGACTAAAGCACGTATCTGAAGAAGGCAGATTGCTTATCCTAAGGGGAGGCAAAAAAAAGTCCTTTCCCAGCTTCAGGCTCTGTTTTGGAGGCCTTAAGGGCTCTCAAGCAGAGATGCTGCTCAGGCCAAAATTCAAGCAACAGGTTCCCAGATTGCTTCATCTTTACATAACCTCATAACAGAAACTAAAAATCAAGGTTTTGTTGCATGCAGCAAGCAGTTCCAGTGAGCAGACCATTGCAAACAGAGCTCAGAAATTAATGCTGCCGTGAGAAGAGGCTTCAAAGAGCAAGTCTGGCTGCGTGGTTGCCTCTGCTTGTGACCCTGTGGTATGACAAGTACTGATTAACTCCCACCAGCTCCACGGCAGATAAGCACAGCATCTTGCAGAAAGCCTCGGTGCCTTGTAGCATCAGAGCTGAAGCTGGTCAGCGTGACAAAACAGTGGATCAGAGACGAAATTTGCAACTGAGCCCTGAGCTCAAAATGTCAGATCAGTTGTCAGCAAGTCACAAGGGGGACAGAACTTAGAATACACTGGGATTTTTTTTTAATTTTTTTTTTCATTTGAGAATTAAAATTTGGGATTAGAAATATGCTGGTACTTTTAATACATACTCACTGCTTCTAAGTAGAGTTTGTAGTCGGTATGAAAAAAACCTCTCCCTTTTTGCAAAACATTTCATAGCACTTAAACACTCTGATTTTATTTTAGGAGTTGTTAATTGCTGCCCAGAAGAGGAAAAAGCTAATGGCAGGAATAAATCGGATGAAAACCGATTTATCAGAGTATAGATTGAGATTTAAAAACCTAGTGTAATTTAAAAGGGAATTTACAGATGTGTACATAGCAAAATAATATGCATTCCCCTTCCCCCTCGCCACAGTATTTTGGCTTCTGATCTGCACATTTGCCATTTTGTAAATATATTTCTATGCTTTTATTCTATCTGGCTAAAGAAAATACTTTTTCAGTTTCAATAAAAAGGGGGAACTCTTAACAGGTTGTTCTATACTGTGATAGTAAAAAATAACTTTAAAATCTAGATGCAATATTTATCGTAATAAATCTGCAAGTGCTTCTGCAGGGTTATTTCTGTGTGAACATGTTTCCAACACAACATTAAAATTTGTTTTTCTTTCAGATACTGATGAATACAGACCGCCTGTTTGGAAATCTTACTGTAAGTATCTCAACAGTTTTTTGTTTTGTTTTTTTCCGCTTTTCCATACCTGAAAAAGTTTCAGTTGGGTGCTTTAAAAAACTCATTTTTCTTTTCATTAGAATGTGAGCATTAAGAAGCATCAAAAGTAAAAGGGTTCATTGCTGATTAGAGATAGGTGCAGTTGTTTATCTTCAAGGACAAGTGAACACAGATTATTTGGAGGGTTAGATTCTCTGCACCTTACTAACCTGAGAGGTCCCACTCCTGTGTGGAACTGGTTTATATTAGTTTGGCTGCCTAGACTGGGGCTAGTATAAAGTCAACTCGTCCCTTAAAGTTAGTATCACTTGCATACTTCTAGGGCTCCTGTGCTTTAGTACCTTGCATCACTAGAGCTGAGACCTGAGCTGGTTAGAAAAACTCAAAATAAATAGTTTTCCTCCAGAACTTGCTGATGTAGTAAAACAAGAGCATTTGTTTGGCCTTGTGTGACAAATCACAAGCCTTTTGAAGCCCTGACTAGAAGGACCTGGTGTCCTACCAGTCTGCCCGCCCGAGCTCTGCAGCTCTTTGGGGTATGTGCCCTAGCTCGGAGGAAGCTGGCCTTGCAGGCTGCCTTAGTCAAGTGTGCAAGGCAGTAGTCCAGGTGCGTTGCCCTGACATCAGAGCACCAAATTCCCATGGGAATTTCATAATTGCTGGTTTTCATTCGTAATTAAAAAAAATAAAAGAGCACAACGAACAACGAAGGTTACATGGAAATTTTTTGTATTTAAAAATTTAAAGGGGTAGCCTGTTGTTTGAAAGTGCTGATGGAAGTTCAGGGAGATTGAAGAGAACACGAGACAAATGGCACCGTAGCAAAGTATCGTAGCTTCCCACAGTGTCTCACCTCTAAATTCTAGTTCTTTGTAGATAGAAGAGCTAAGATGTGAGACATTTTGAGACTTGGGGAACCACAGCAAGAAAGAAGACTCTCCTGTTAAAGGCAGATTTTGAAAACAGAATGTTTGTATGTTTAACACAACAATTTAGGGATGTCACACCTACGTTTGCATTTTCTTTTGTGTATATTCCCAAGGCATGGAGTCTTCAGGCTGGCTAAAGGGATTTGCTCGAGCAACATTTCACATGATGAAAACATGGCTAAAGTTTAGGGAGATTTAGCACCCGATAAAATATAGTTATTTCAAAAGGTTTTCCATCCTGCACTGGGAGATTCTTTATAATCGGAGATTTCAGGTTGGTCTTAAAGGCTTGGTAAAAACCAGCGTTAGAAAGAGAGTAAGTGTAAGAGAGCAGATTAAAGTATTTTTGTCAGCTAAAGTATATATAGTAGAATTAAATGAGCACTAGAAAAACAGCTTTTCTGTCACCTAGACCAGTATTCTGTTAATGGCTCACAGAGGTCAGTTGTTTCTGTTCTGTCCCTGGCATTGCCAACCTGACACATTCAAAAATCACAGTTAGGCCTTAAAACTCCTAAATCAGCCTTGTTGTTTGGGTTTGGTTTCCAATATTTGAGTTGATAAAGTGATTGTGAGTTACACAGACAAGATCTTCTATGCAATATGAGCATTAGATGACTTCTGTAAATGAGAGCATGTCTCATTTACATATAGACATAAGAAATTTCAAAGAGCTTAGGCTGTAAGTAAATAGTCAGATATTGTGAAATGTGTGGTAAAGCTTACAGGATTTGGCACAACTGGATGTGCCTTAACAGTCTAGGAATGTCAGGGTCTCTTAAAATGCAATTACGTTAATTGAAGAGAATAGGAAGGCAACAAGTCTTAAAAAAAGGCTGAAGACTCTTAATTTGTTCATCTTCAGTGTTTTCTTTGGATGGATGACTTTGAACGGTTTTTAATAATTGCCAACGTATGCAATTGCTGTTATGTAATTGAGGCGGCTGGGACCTTGGTCTGTTTATAAATCTGGTGGCAAACCTGCCCATGCTTTCTGAATCATTTATTATGCCAGTAGCTTGTCATATGTCAAGTCAGATGCTTAGTATTAAAGAATTTGCACACAGAATTATTTGAACAAGGCTTTTTCTTGCAGTGGAGTGCTAAAAGATGAAACTGAGACACTTCACTCCTTGGTATTAAACATTAGTCATGTATTTGTTACTGAGATCTGTGCATTTCGCTCCCAGTTGTGATCATTAAGAGTGAATCACAGCTCTGTACCTTCTGCGAACTCCAGGAACACCGCCTCTGTTCGGTTTATTCCATGCCATAATCGGTAACAGAGGGGTCCAGCCTCGCTCATAACAGATCTTTGCTGGCAGCTTGCCAGGAGCTGAAGGCTTGGGTGCGTGCAAATGTATGTGCACCCACTACACCATCATGGTTTGCCATGGCGAACCCTTCCCATGGTTCAGAATTAAGTGCAGAGTCATGGGGTTTGGTTGTATTTCTGACTCATGATGGATGAAGGGGAATGTCTTGTTTGACTTCCCCGGCAATAATCACAGCAAGCAAACTGGTGTTGAACAGTTTGAATTGCATACATCGATTAGAGGAGGAGGAATAGGCATACTGTTTTGTAATTTAACTAGTCTACCTGCCCTGCTTCTGACTGGAAGAGGAGAAAGGTACTGTCTTTGGAGAAGAGGGATTTCCTTCCAGAAAATCTTTTCAGCCCATCTTGAAGTAAGGTGGGAAACAGTTCTCAGTTTTTAGCCAGTTTCTGCGGAGCATGCTGATTGTGAGTCTCCACTGCTCCTCTGTGAGATTCAGAGAAATCCATATTTGCTGTGTGATTTTTATTTTTTTTTCCTCTGAGCTTGACTCTACAGTTCTCAGAATTAGACACAGACAAGACCCAGTGCCATCAAATATGACTTTTACAATAGAAGCTGGGAAATGTGTGTGCTGGCAAAATAAATGGTCATGCTATGCTTGAAATGAAAATGACTGTTTTATATACAAGTGTGCTGTTCTTCATCACTTGCGAAAATCATTTTTGTAACACCAATACAGAATGGTAAGAATTGTTTTTAGTAACATCGGGGAAAAAACATTAGGTTTTTTGTTTGTAACAAAGGGAGTGAATTTTTCCAGTTTATGTTACGATTTGCCATATCTTCGGGCATCTTGCCATTTTCTCCATTCCCGTGTAACTTGGCACATAAATGCAGCATTCATCAGTGGAAAAGACTCATGATCAAATGAGAAGTGTAATGAAGTCAAATCTTATTGGTTAAATCAAGGTATGCTGTTATTACCTGAAAAAGGTGACAGCACATGTTATTAGACCTTGATGTTAGTACTGATGCTTGAAGCATAATTTAATTTTAAAAGATTACAATTCCAAATGTCCATTTTATCAGTTCTAGAGGACTATTCAAATGCTAACTTAGTGTTGACAGCCTCATTTTGAAGGTGACTTGACAAACCAAACTCTTTTCGGGATAGAAATTGAAAGTAACTCCTTTGATATTATATTAGAAAGTCTGTACATTAGTACCATTAAATTTAAAACTGGTTCCTAAGATTTATTCTGTCTTGATGAGGATTACTTAAGAAAAAAAGGAAAAAAAAGGGGAGGGAAGATACTAGTAAGTTTATGTCATAATTTGGACCTTAACTGTTTGACTCTGCTACTCAACTCCTGATACCTTTAGATCTGCAAAGGCCATTTTTCTCTTTGTTAAGAAAGGTCATCACTGAGCAGTGGCAAAAGCAGAGGGTTTGATTCTGCAAAATTGCAAATGATTCTTGTAAAGTCTTGACATATTTCAGGTGACTCAGTCTGTGCCCAGCGTGGTAGGATGGGACTCCATCTGCTTACTGAAGAAAGTCTGAGAGCAGCCTGATTTGACATCTAATAAAATTTAATTTGCATTTATCATGATTCCTTTTCTGATCTGTTTGATGGAAACTTGAGTGGTCTCACCTAGTTACACCCTAGTACTTGATCAATTAATTGTAAAGATAATCAATAATCCTGTTTTGGCTAGCAACATTCTTTTTTCTGACCACTTGTAAGTAATTTTTGAGACCTTGGTATATGTATCCTTGCATTAAGTCTTGCAGAAAGTCTTCTTTATTTAAACAGCAATATTTAATTTTAAAATGCCTGACTTCTACAATGATTCTGTATTAATCAGAATTTAACTTCTGCCTTCTCCCAGTGTATCAGTTGCAACAGGAAGCTCCCCATCCTAGAAGGATAACGTGCACTCGTGAGGTGGGTATTACAAAGGTTCAGTTTTACAGAGTCCAGTAATTCCGAGTCCTATACTTAATGGTGTCCAACCCAAACCGCGGTTCCTTGGGACACTTGGTGCTGTTGTTAGAGTAAGTAGCCTTGGGGGCACTGGTACCTGGAAATCCACTTGATCAAAAAATTGAATCGAAAAGCATTTTGAGTATGATGTGTATACCTGAGAATCATTTACTGGTTTTTGATTCTTAGATACATGGAAACATGCCTTTTCTCCTACTTTTTGGGTCAGAAATTCACGGAAGCAAGAGCAGAGCTGTACAGGGGAACTATGCACCTGGTTTACAGACATCGCTGCTAGATGCATGCCATAAATCAACGGGGAAGACTGAAACCTCCCCTGGTGCTGTTATTTGAGTCCTAGTACTTAAGACTCATTAATGCTAGTAGCTAAGCTGTGCTGAGCCACAGATTTTAAGGATATGAACAGTAACAACAGGATCCTGTTGATATACAGTGATACAGAAGCAGCTGGTCATGGGGTGAGTTATTGAGGCAGACCCCCAACTGCTAGCGTGCCCTGAGCTGCCATTCAGCAGAGCAGCACCTCTCCAGAGCTGTGGTGCTGGAGGGTTTAACTGATACCAAACATGCGTGCCAGCAAGATTTTACTCATAAATGCATCTCTCTTGCAGCTTCAGTTAGGAACCTGTGAAACATTAATTTCAATTTCAAAAATGCTGAAATGTTAGGCTCGACTTGTTAAGCAGCATTGCAAAACACAGCTCTTACTGAATAACCACTGAAAGTTATTACATTGCTGCGATAAAACTTAAGCATTTTTATCATGTGCCAAGAGAAAGGAAATTAATCTTTGAAATATGTTAGTCACTTTGACGTAGTATTAAATGCAGAGGGACAGAGCACTGTCAGGAACATTAATAGCTTACAGTCTAGATCACAAGGAGGATTACTTTACAGAATTAAACAAGCGTTTCTCTGTAGTCTTTTTTAGTCTTTTTAAATGCCCAATTGTGATTCTGTGAAGTAGTCTGTCAATTTTTAAGATAAAAAGTAGAGATTTAATAGAAGTGAAGTATTGCATTTAGTGGAAGCACTCTTGTTTTCCTTTGTTAATTTGATAGATTTGTATTTTTATAGAAGGTATAGCTATAGCTGATCGCACTTGAGCAAGACATAGCTGTAGCTGTAGGAAAGAACAATACATGAATTTTACAAGAAGCCTTGTAGCAAAAAGTTTTGTCTTAACCAGTGTTTCCACTGGTAGTGAGGGCCCAAGTAGGGGTATTCTTGTTAAGGTTGTTGTGCCGATAGCTTATGTACATCAGATAAGGTGGGATGGCGATTTGATGGAGAGATCTATAGAAGATAAGATCTGAGCTGTGAAAAAATGGGAGGTTTTCCAGTTTTTTATTCCCATTGCAACATTTTTAGGAAGATACGTTTCTATTTTCTGTCCTCTATAATAGGGTTTTTCATTACACTAATATACAAAATATCTGAAGTCTTGTAAGAGCTTAGTCTTACAATACAGGTTTGTGATTGTACAGAGTGGTCACCTGACTAGGATAAAGTATTTTACTCCCTGCCTCCAATGGATTGTGTTTATTGTTGTTAGGTGCTGTTGAATAGTTGCTTTTTCCTTCCTCCCCTCAAAAGTATTCCATTGGTGGAAGAAGTTCTAGTATGTTTGTAGGTGTACGTATATATGCATATTGTAAAATGTATGAGGGATTTTTGGGAGCCTTTTGACACTGTTCATTGAGGCGCTGACACTGTGCTTGTACAATCGCCGTAGTCTTTTAATTGCCGAGTCCTATCTCAGAGCCCTGCTATGGTTTACTCCTGTAATGACAGACTTTCTTATAGTGTATGCCTATAAAGTCGCCTGGCTCTTATGGTGATGAGCGACAATTCTTCAGTCTCTTCAGTTAGATGCTTTGAAAGCCTTACTTGTGAATGTTTTAATTCTTACAGAATTAGAACCTTCATTTTTCTATATACCTTTTGGTTTCTTTAAAAAAACAAACAAATGAAAAAAACCCAACCCCATAATAAAAATGTAAGGAGTGGGAAAGTACCAGCACAGTTAAGGAAATCTTACAGCAGGTACCATAACGATTGTAATTGTTTTGTATGTTGACTGCACAATGCAGAGTACCCTGTAGTCAGGGAGAAGCTGTAAACTGATAAAGGGGTCCAGCATAGTCAATAAGATCTGCTGGCATTATATCCCATGCTGGTTTGACTGCAGAGCAGTGCTTTGGGGTCTTTTTGTCCTAGATGATAAGTCACAAGCAAATTTTATACTAGGTTCTCCTTCATAGTATTTCTTAGAATTCTAGTCTGTCCAGTCAAATAAGCAGACATATAAATGTGTGTACAGTATCTGAAATTTAAAAATGTGTCCTGCCTCTGGAGTGCTGGAAATACTGATCAGATCCAGATTGCCTTCTTTTTGGAATTAAACAAGAGACCTACTGTTGCCAGTCAAATGTAAATGTGACTGTGTAAAGCGTCTTCAAATAAAAATCACACTGACCACTATAATTTTCTCATCCTTGTTACCACTGAATTTTAATACTCTTAATTATAAAATTTGATTAGCTATTATACAGATGGGAAATTGAAAAGTTGGACTGTTTTAGGGAGGAGAACTTGCTGTGGGTGAATGGTGTCCTGCATGAACTAACCATCCAAACTTTGGGAAGGGTATATGAGCATACTGCATCCCTACAGAAGGAGGTCCTCCTGGTCTAATTCTATGAACAGGTAGTCTGTTAGAGTCAACGGGGGATTGCTGAAAGTACCACAAGCAATCAAAACACTCTGCTACGTCCTGTCCTCACTGAAGAAAGAAATGCAACACATCAGTGTCTCTAGTATCATATTTCTATGAATTTATTCCAAAACAAGTTAATAACATACGACAAACTTTAAGTAAGTGTAAAACTTTCCCTGTGCCAGAGGGAACAAGAAAAGAGATGCATTCTGTGTTTTAAAATAGTTTCATCCTATCCCCTGAACTGCAGAATAAACCTGTGCCTGCACCATGAGCATTCTTGTAGAAACTGAGAAGTAAAGTCTGTGTTTTTTAGAAACTAGTGAGAATTGAGCTAAATAAAATAGAGCTATGAAAGAATCAGTCAGCTGCAGGTATTTAGCTGCAGAACAGAACATATTAAATACACATTTTCTCATTAAATTAACCATTTACAACAAAAAAAAAGCTCTTTGACGCTTGTTTTTCCTAATAAAGGTAAAATTGAAAGAATACATTATCAGTGTGTATTTTCCTTAATTTGTTATAATTCAGATAAGTGTTTTTCATTATAAGTATTGAACAATTTATGTATCTGAGCCAGATTTGAAGTGAAAATATATTCAGTGAGCAGTAACATGTTTAACCTTTCTCTCTGGTCTCAGCCTCTCCTGCTAGTGTTGAGCTTTGTGATATGCTCTTTCTCAGCTGGGTTTCTATTAGCAGCCACGTGTGAGTCAGTGGGGAGCAGAATCTTCTCCTAAGTGGTTGAATTATTCAGCTGTATAAACAAATTCATAAATATTAGGAAGTGAATTTTGGTCCAGAGAACATCAAAGAGGTCAGTGGGGGGGAACAACATGTAATTGGTAAGGTATTAGCACATAAATTGCTCCTCTTGCCTTACTGTATTCCACTTGTTGACATAAGCAAGAGTGATGATGAGGGGAAAAAAGCACTTGTTAAAGAATAATTGGAAATCACACTGTAAAAAAACCCAACCTTTTATTTAAGGTGCAAAGGCACGTGTTGTACAAGTGCTGACAGAGAGGTGTATTCAACAGAATGACCTACTTAACATGAAAAGCTTCTCAAATGCAGAGAATTTGAGTTTCTGCTCTGTTACACCAGTTTCATATCAGAGCAACACACAGATCAGTGAAGTTATACTGATGTAAAAAGAGCATTGTATTCATTTGGGATTTTTTATTGTGAAGGTGCAGCAGAACCAAGGCTTTCAGCACTGTATGTGGTTAATTTGTAAATTTGATGATTCTGTAACATTCTAAGGATATTTGACTTCTGCATAAGGCTTACATCCAAATTGTAATGTTGTTTGTCCAATTAATGTCGTATTACCTCCATGGAGTTTCTATTTGTTGTGCATATAATCTTTTATATACACACACATGCATGTGCAGGCATACTTAGGGCATCCTTAACTGCTATATAAAGGCACTCCATGATAAATTTTAAATAACTATGTATAAAAAAATATCAGAGAGACAATTGATGAAGATAATTGAAATCACTGGTCTTTTCTGTCCTGTTATGAGGCTTCATCCTAATTCAGTGCTAGTAGTTAACAAGCCTGTTAAACAGCATCTCTGTGTAGTCCTGCGAAAATGGTCACTCTGAGTAGTCAAGAAACATAGCATAGATGAGCATATATAATGCGCGTCCTTGTTAGAGCCGTTCTTAAAGATGACTTTAACTGTATGATACACAACCAGAATGACTTCCCAGCTTTCACGGTAACCAAGCTCTTTTCCAAAGGAATGGCTGCTGTAAGGCAGTTGCCAAGTCTGTCCCATTTATCTGTTCGTAAACTTGGTTTCATTGGCTTCACACCTCAGTTTGAAAAGATCAGAAATGAAACTATGGTGGATCTCTCATTGACCTTTGTGTTTCTTGCAGGTATCATAGTGACACCTGAATCTTTCCTGTGGCCTCTGCGTCAGTGCTATACAAACAGGCACATTGAAAACAAATCTCTCGCAGTTACTTTTTTCTCCTAAGAAGCAGTTTTTAAAACTGTGCCGAACATAGGCTAAACAGACAGCAATAGGAGATTTTTCCCATAAATAAAAAGTCCTGAGAAGTCAAAAGACTTAGCATTCAGCTGATCTTTGCTGGATACAGGGAAAATGAAGTAGCTACGGCTGCCTTTACTCATGCTCAATTATATTTTGGTCAAAAAATACTGCCAAATCGGAAAGAAACTCTGCAGAGGGTAATTACACTGTATTTTCAGCTAACAGCTTCAGTTAAAATGATCGTTTTCCTGCTACTGCTTTGATTTTATTTAAAAACGTATTTCCTTTCTTAGGTGGGTTTTAGTTCCAGTCCAGACGGATGGTTTGGTTTTGCCTCCCTAACTTAAGGCTGAGTGAGTGTGAAAGTTAGGCTAATGAAGCTTCCGAACGGAACTGGTTTGGCTTTCAGTGCTCACGTGCAACTGGAGGATATGCGGGTGCCTGCAGTTTTAATTTGTAGAAATACAGTCTGGTAGGAACTTTGTGAAGTCCAGGCAGACACAAAAGACCAAGAGAGCTGTGTGTCGCTTCTAGCCCTGGTGCGGCTAAGGATGCCGAAAGCAAGAACAAATGTTACGCCACCTTTTATGCCTAAGTTGCTATGAGCAAAGTTGGTGTCACAATACTTGCAGGAAGCGTTAGAGAAAGCTGGACAACAGTGTTTACTGCCTTACATGGTAAATTTGGCTTGCAGGAAATCTGTGGTTTAATAAGTTCACATGGGCTGCACTAAGTGTGTGTGTAGCCCAGCTAATTCTGAGCGAATTAGAAAGCCCCTGCTGAGTTCTGATGGAGTTGCCTCAGAGTCTAAATGTATGCATTCAATCTAGGTGTAAAAAAGCCCTAATATTATAATAAATTTTAAAAGTTATGAAAAAAAAACAAAACCACAAAAAAACAGGTAATAAAAGTCAGTGAATTGGGGTTCCAGTTGCATTGAGTCTTATACAAGCAAATGGTGTTACACATCAGTGTTTACACTGAAGTTTTTTCGAGTTGGTAAAACTGATCAGTAGAGACAGAAGTGGTTGTTTTCCTCTTTAACTCATCATCCACCAAGATGAACTGCAAACCCAGCTGCAAGTGCCTGGAAGTTGAGCAGAGCGTTTTTCTGACGCTTTGCTCCAGTCATCTGCCAGTGCACATTTTCAAATGTTTGCACACAGAGCATAACATGGAATGCTTTTGCCTACTAAATTTTCCAGGTCTGTTGTATAAATTCACTGAGATAGACATAAAATCTCAATAGACAGACAACAAAATCTTATTCATGACAGGATTCTTTTTTTGACAGCTGCCTGAGACTAGTGTCTTGTCTTGGGGTTTTAGTTAGGAATTGTTGCGAGTTTCTATAATAACAACAATAAAATGTTTTCACTTTTTCTCTATTCATGCTGCTATCTTTCTGTTGAAGAAAGCCTACATTTAGCAAAAAATATGTAAGACTTGTTTTCTTTTTTTAAATGACCCAGTCTCTTCAGGCCATCTGAAAACAGTTATCACACTGGTCAACTCTTGTTTGCTGTTATGTAGGAAAAGGAAATCTTTTAGAATACTATAAATCATTCTAGTGATGGAATGATTTTTCAATAAATGATGAACCAACACAAAGCTTTCTCTTTGCTGGGAATGTGAGAGGGTTGTTATTAGACTGTACACCAGGATGTATTTTTTGTTGTTTGGACATCTGAAATCTTTATTTATACTCCACTGAGATAACTGGAGAGGAGTGGTAATTTTAATAAGCTTTTTTCTGAAAAGATGGAAAAAAGAAACTGAAGTGGCAGTTTCTGTGAGTATTTTCTGGTTTATTATAGCTGGATCATTTTATACTCTTGTAGTTCAGGTTGTGTAATTGTCGAATTTTGTTCCCTAAAGAGTTTCCTCCTGTAAATTTAGCAAGGAGGGAGGAATCTGGAAGTTTAGATTATTGAGCTGATTTCTGAGAGGTCTGCAGTTCCTCCCTTGGCTATAAACTTCCCGGACAATTGCAGACAAGTTACTTCGTCTGAAATACTTAGCAGGCAAATTGTGTTGTGTCCATTTACACTGTATCATCTCTGGAGCATGGATGGGCTTGTGTTATGCTGCAGAACAGATGCATACCTGTTGTTGAGGTCTTTTAGGTGGTACTAGAGATCACAGTTTAGTGAAGCCAAGGGGTGCAGGATTTAGGCACTTGCTAATGGAGGGGATATGGTAGTGGCTTAATTTCTGGTGGCAGCGGCACCAGCAGCTTTGTGACGGACGATAACTTGTAAATTTAAGAGTTTTATATATGTTTCACTGTATTAGTGCACTTAACAATATAGTGCACCTACACCCACGAAATGAATCTTTTTTCTACCCTTTTTGGCAGTTCATACAAGCAATACTTAATGCCATCGGTTTGTATTAGCAGAGCCCCAAGGATGACGTGATGCAAGCGGCTCATTCTTTCTCACTCCTTTAAGCCATTCAGAAGTGGAATGTTTCCCAAAGGTCTGCCTTTGGTTTCCCCATATTACACCCACAGGGAAAATCCTGGGATGGTAGATGATTTTTGTCTGTACTTTCACATTATATCCCTTTCTATTTTTAATACTATATAATGGACAATATGCTTGCTGTATGGGTTCACTTGTTATGAAACATTACAGTTTCTGTCCTTTCTTCTAGGTAGAGAACAGACCCAAATATTATGGAAGAGAGTAAGTAACATACATCTCTGAAAGTGGTTTAGCTGGCCATGTTGGTTGATAATAGTTGCAGAAAAGGTTGCAAGCGTTTGCTCTGGGCCCTTTGTTTCTTCTCTGTGTTTTACAGCAGTGTGTCTTGCTCACCATCAAATTATTATTGCAGTACCATCACTTTTGTCTGCCTGAAATTACGGCTACATTTTCTGATGGTTATGGATATAATTGAGTGCTACCTTAAGTGAGAAAAACATGTTTCTGTACTTCCAAAGGGCTGTCTCTTTCTACCCCCACCTCCAGTTGGCTTTTGCAAAAGATGTTGGTGTGCAGGAAGAAAAAAACTTGCATCACAAATGCAATATAAGTGTACAGTATATATGTGTCCTCTATTTCAGACTGCTAAGGCAAAGATGATTATATTTAGTGTGGGGAAACAAAGCAGATCTTATTTGTGTTTATTTTGGTAAAAGAGTGTAGTATTGCTAGCTTTATTACACCAGTAATTACCAAGATTATATCCAATCCCCCAGATTTTAGAAAATTGCTATAATATCCCTAAATGCTGCAAGATATTGGATTGCATGCCACTGGTACAAAACATGTGAAACCAGCAGGAGAAATATATATTTGTATATATTAAATTGATAGATGCAGGTTTAAAAAGCAATATAGTTGTGTCACAGATATTGTTTCAGAGAAGCCTTTCTAAAGCATTTAATGTGACTTCAAATGCAGGCAGAAAGAGAGATTAATTGAAGGTGTAGATTCCTGCAAATCAGTCATTTTTGTTTGTTTCTCTCTAATTACCGTCGTTGGTTATTTTCTAAAAGAAGAGGAAAAGGTGATTTAAAAGTGGAAAGGCACGTGTTTCAAAAAGTCTTTGTTCCTTAGATTCCACGGGATGATCTCGAGGGAGGAAGCTGACCAATTATTAAGTGTTGCAGAGGGAAGCTATCTCATTCGTGAAAGCCAAAGGCAACCTGGAACCTACACTTTGGCCTTAAGGTTGGTAATTAATATTTCATTTTTAAATCTATAAGTATTCAAAAGATTGCACTGTGTTGTTGACCTTAGCGCTTAAACTTCCTTGTGATTGTTTTAATTTTTTTAAAAATCATAATGAGCATTTAATGAACTGGTACTTTTTTACGCTTGTTACAGATTTGGTATCTTTAACCTTCTCTAACCCTATCTGAAGTGCTAACACTCCTTATTGTTTCCACCACCAGGATAACTGCAATTGTTTTTTTGCTGGTGGTGCTTCATTTTGCTCTTTTCCCTCTATGTTACATCTGTAACCCCCTGTAGACATTGGGAGAGCAGGCAGTCAAGAAATAAAAGGCATCTTATGAGTTCACATGACTAGTCTCCTGTGTGGGTTGGTTACTACCTAGCTAGCTGCTGCTGAAGAGCAATTAATTCTCTCCAGTCCCTCTGTGGGATGGCAAGTGAATCGGGAGGTTTTTGTGTCTGAACACCTGTTAGCTAACAATGTTTGCAGATCTGTTTCCTCGCTCTGCAAAATTCTGGCAAATGGATCAGATCTAAATAAAAAACTGAAATAAAAATTAACTTAAATAGTTGTAAGTTTTAAACAGTTTAATTACTTTCAAATGGATGTTATTTTGGCCTGGGTTGTACACCTAAGTACTCAGATGGGAGATAATGACTATTAGCAATGTTTTAAATCTAAGTGGGACAGAAAAACATTGAAGGAGAAGATGCAGTTACTGAATGTTTTATATGGATGAAATAAGATTACAATTAAAATAAGAATATTATGATATAATAGCTTGTGATTAATTAGTTTTCTTTGGGGGTAGGGGGAAGGTGTGTTTTACTGAGATACTTGTTTCTGTAGTAATAAGATTCCAGATAGAAACATTATTGACATTTACACTGGTTTGCATGAACAGTGTAAATAAATTGATGTTGCTTATTAGGTCTAATACACCATTTCATCTACTTCTGCTCTTGCAATATTCATTTAAAACTAAAAGGAAAACAGTTGTCTTAATACCTGGCTCGAAGACAAAGAACTCCTGCCCCTTGCTCCTGATGGTGCAAAAGGCACAGGGCTTTTTAGGCTGTGAATATTGAAGCTGCTGAGCATCTTGCCGGATGTATTGATGCAGCTTGTTTTACAAATGCTCCTCCAGTCCATCAAGTCAAAAGACGGGTCTTTTCTAGGTTTGACGGTACCTCTTTCAAACTACAAAACCTCTTTGAAAGCAATAAAATCTGGTTTTATACTCAATAGAAAAGAGAATAGATAGCTGTTGGTGATCAGTTTGGGAAACAGTTTCAAATGATAGCAAAGCTGCTATCATTGATGTATTTTGAGGAAATTCAGCATTTGGCAAAATGCCTCAGAATCTGAAACTGCAGCATGTTGCAGCCATTTCATTATGTTTAAGCGCTAGCTGGATGACTTGTATACTAAGGGTGGTGGTCTAGGTTGCCGCTTTCCATCCCACAGCAAGTAACACTCTGTTGTCTTGCTCTTGGCCTTTAAAGTGTATGAATGAGGGTCTTTGCTGTCATACCTTAACTGAAAGTTCTCTGTGAACTGCAGTGCTGTGTCTTCCACACGTGGGAATTTTACTGCTAGGATTTCTTTTTCGCGCTACTAGGATGTGTAGCAGGACTCTGTGTTTCCATTGACTGGAGGCAGAGTTGTGCTCAGTTTCCATTTTTCCTCTCCCTGGAATGATACACACAGAACATGCCTATTAGCCAATATTCCCACTGAGTGTGTTTCTGACATTACAGCATCTCTTAAAGACTAGGTAATTTCTGCGGTCTCTCTGCTCATCCTGACTGTGAGAAGTTTGCTGTGATTGCTGTGATAAGTTTATGTAATTTTACCTGTAATTTATAGCATTTTTGAGACCATCATTTTTGTTTGCGTCACTACACTGCCAGACAGCAAAGGTAGCTCTGTCTGCATCTTTGACAATCCCAGTAGGAATTGCAGAATGTCATCTCCATGGCTGGAAATGAAGCTTGTCAGTAGGGTGGTATGTATGGGCAAAACCTTTCCAAGTTCGATGGAAGACTGATTGACTTCAGGGTCTCTGATTTCACCCTTTCTTTTTAACTGTGTGAATCAATTTGATTTTTTCATACTAAGATTAAATGCCACAATTAATTGCATTAATTAATCAAGCATCAGCATTAATTTTAAGATCACTTCTGTATGATTTTTGCTTTTCCTTCTTTACCTTTGTTTTGCCCTTTAGAAGGTGTGGGAGGAAAGAAAGAAAACTTGGTCAGCTGTTAGTTTTATGTAAAGAAATAGACACAGAACAGGTTTCACAGCATTTTACAAAGTTAACCCAGCAATGCTGAAGAACTGCTCTAATCCTGCAACAAGTAACATAATGACAAAACATAAAATGGAATATCTGTGTTTTCTGATTGTTTTTCAGACATGCTTTGGAAAACGAATGGAAAGTGTTGAGTAAAATTTAGATGATTGAGGGTACCCATTTGACTCCTCACATAAATACTTGGTTCCCTCTGTATTCCTGCATATTGACTCAGTCTGTCTCTCACTGTGTGTGGTTGTTGCCTGACTTGTCTCTTTGACAGTCTGTTGATTGTGATTAGGATAAATTGGAAACTAGCTATGAAGTGTGATTGCATCATAAACATCCCAGTTCATCAAGACCTAAATATTTTGTCAAAACATTGGGTAGGATCAGCTACTATTCAGGCTGAGAGAGGGTTGTCTCCTGGCTTATAGTTACTGGTTCTTCTGCTGGGGGGCAGGCAGTTCAGTCATACAGACAGCTCAGCACTCCCAGCACACCCAGGTCTGGCAGATGTCTTCTTCTTGCGTTCATGTCGGCGTGCCTGGGAATCCTGAAAAACCCAGTGCATCCAGTCGTGAAGAGCAGTTTAGTGAAACAGGATCATAACCCTTTCTGTGGCAAGGTATGATGTCTCTGTAATGAAATATTTCCAGTCTTCATTTCTGTAATGGAAAAAAACAAGTTTTTTGTGCTTTGTCTTGAGGACCCAAACTAGCCAACTCCTCAAGTCACTCATGGAACAATTTGAATGCTACGTTTGATTCCACCAGCTATTGTAGCTGATGTCTAAAATCTCGATGTTCATACCAGCCATTGGTGAAGTTGTTTTCAATTTAGTTCCAATTGTGGTTCTGTTTTGTCTAATATTTTGGCTTGATGTTACTAAATTAAGCGAAGGCATTGCATCCTCGGAATTCAAAAAGGAACATATCCTGGTGTTTGTTGTTGATTTATTTATTTTATATTACAGTTTATTTAATCAACTTTAACATCAGGTATCTGCTGTGTCGGTAAAGTTTCTAACATAGTTAAATTGGAAGTTAGAGAAAACACTTAAAAAACCCCTTTGGCTACAAAGCAAGCTAAGTGAGGGATAAAGAACTCGGAGTCCTTATTATGACTGCCAAAACACTGTATTTGTGAATACATCATCCTCTGTGCTGCAAATCTGATAGAGATTAACGAACCCTAGCTCAACTTTGTAAAGTAAGTATTTATCTTCTTCTGGAATTATTGAAGAAAATCACCTCACAGAGGGTTATATTATAGGAGAAAAACAACCACATTCTCTCTTGTTCTGGCTCTATCCCCATTGCTCATTGCCTTCTAGAATGTTCTTACAGTGGGCATCTTCCAGAGACACTCAGACTGTCTTTGTTCTGCACTGAAGATTTTCGTTTGTTAAACAACTTAATCTTTCTAGAAGATAAAGAATAAACTGTTAACACCACAAATCATGACTCCTTTGCAGGCAGACAGAATTCACAGTTCCAAAAACATGTTTTTGTGAAATCTGTAACAGATTGGACAATCGCACTAAGCTACAGCCTTCAGCTACAGCCAAAATGCACAGAATGCCAATGCGGTTGGTGCATGAAGGTTCTTTTATGGACCGTTCTAACCCTAACATGGCTCTGCTGCATCTCACTTCTTTTTAATTTATCCTAAGGGATGCCTTAAGTCATCACAGAACGGGCAGATCTGGGAAGAGGTCTGGGTAATTGTTTGCAAAGAGTTTCTGCCCAGTTATATATCTCTGTTACTGCATTAGCAAGTTCTCTGACTATGGACACACTGGGTCAGATCAAAGGACCAATTTGTAGTCCGGTCCAGTATCCACTCTTTGGTAGTTATTAATAGCAGCCATTGAAAGAATAGTGTAAGGACAAGATGAACATGTAGTAGTAGTTTTCTGGTGTGCTCTCCCAGCCTCTGAAAATTTGCAGTTCAGGGACTTCTGAACAGAATTGTTATCTTTGCTATTTTTTCAGGCTTTTGATGGATTTCTGATTTTTGACTAGTGTCTTTCTGAGCACAATTTTGAACCCGTGTAGACTTTTCTGTCTGCCACTGTAACATGAGTTCCATGCCTTAACTAGGTTTTATGGGAAGCAGCATCCCTTTTCTGAAGATTCCATCTCACAATTTTATTTTATGCTCCCTAGTTTTTGTATTCTGAGAAACAGTGAACAATTGATCTCCATTTACCTTTTCCATGTCACTCTCATCCCCCTTATTGTACTCTTTCCAGGTCGATGAGTCCTAAGCTATACATTCAGGTTTTGTGGTGAAGCTGTTCCATACCCCTCATCATCTCTGTCACCTTTATCTGTGCTTTTCTCTTACTCTGTGATCATCTTTTGGAGATGAGGGGACCAGGACTGCACATCCTCTTCAGGATGAAGTGGGCCATGGAGTTTTCTTTCTTTTTTCTCTAAACCTTAATAAATGAATTTTTGACCACTGTGGAGCTCTGATCTTTTATAGAACTAGCTTTAGTAAATCTACAGATCTTGTTCCTGAGCTGCAATAGCTACAGACATAGCCTAGCACTGATTAAATGACCACATATAGGACAGGACAAATAATAGCTTTTGCAGGCTTAACCGAGGCAGTCAAATATTCTTAGTGCAATGCTATCAAATAGTTAACTGAGTCCAAAGTACAAATTTTGAATATTTCTTCTTC